AACTTGTAACATTTCCCATATAACTCTTAGCTCACCCCCTCAACTATTCAGAATATCAAAGAAAGAGTTGTTATTTCCGTTTAAATAGACAATGATACTGAGGAAAATTGTAGATATTTATCGATTTTTCTATAGTATTCTTTAGTATAAACCATCCAAATGTCAAGTTTCAAATTACTTGATTTAATAATACTTATATGAGCAGAGATGGATAGTGGCTAACAGTGGAATCCAGGACGCGCGTTTCGTCCTATTTTGGACTCGTCAGCTGGATGTACCTGAATCTCATAGTTGATGTTCACTCTGGAACTCGAACCCAGTACCGTTCTCTTCAAACGCCATCTCGTTAACCCAGAGTGAACAGCGACTCTGAGATGCACGTACTTCCAGCTAACGAGTCTCAAATAGGACGAAACGCGCGTCCTGGATTCCACTTATTCAAGTCGATCAATTGGGAAATAATGTATTATACATTTACAGAATTGTAAAAAAAAGATTGGATAATCATGCTTTTATCCATAAACAAAAAGGTTGAAACTACTTGTGGGTTTTTTAAAAACCGGGGCAAAAGCTTAACATAGACATAAACCATTTACTAGACTCTGATATTTTTGAATAGATGAATACTAACATCAAAGATATCAGTTAGATCTTGAATCTAATGGATAGGACATACATTGTGAAAATCATCAAACTGCATCACGAGGCAAGTGCTAACTTGGAATCCTGAAGGGAAACGAGAAAGAGGGAAGCTAAAGAACACACTGTAACTGGAATAGAAAGCAGACATGAAAAAAAAGGATAGTAACTAGAAAGGATTGTTCAGGACAGAGTTGGATGGCGAATGTTGGTAGGCGGCTGTAGGAAGCAATTTCCTACAGGGGTAACTTTAAGCTATTCTCTAAACTGTCGAATACAGAGTCTTGGTTTCGCCAAAGTCAAAACAAGTAAGCTATTTGGCTTAATAAACTTTATCTGTTTCTAAAACGTAAATTAACAACATTAGTATACGAATAAACAGTAGTCTATTACATAGGGAAAAGGTGAAATATAAATGACATACCGAACAGTAAGTGGAGAATAGGAAAAATGAGTCAAAGGGGAGAATATTGTTCCAGAATGAACATAAAATTGTGATTGGTGGATAAAACAAAGACAGTCATACAAGGTCAAAGAATTTAGTGCGGTGGTGAGCGTTTCACCTATCATTGGTGTGTTCACTTATCGATCACACTTTACACTCCCCCCGAAACGCGAACCACGTCCGTCATCGTATGTCGGCGTCAGATAACCGGCTTCTTCCAATAGACACAGGCTTCGCAAATCCCGAAGATTTCTTCGTTTGCCATTCTCAACCTTGCTGTACGAACTCGTCCGTCAGGGCCGTAGCTTACTTGTTCGACAATGGCTTTAGGCCATAGACTTCTGCTCGTTTCAACGTTACTCACGAGAACTAGGTCGCCGGGTTGTAGATTTCTGCGTACGTTTAACCATTTATCTCTTGTTTGAAGAGTCAGTAGATATTCTCTTATCCACCTATACCAAAATGAGGTAGTTAATCTTTGAGCTTCTTTCCATCTTTTATTGTATAATAAAGTCTTATCCACAGAAACATTGCCGGATGATAATCCTTTGTAGATCAACAACGATTTATCCGGTATAAGAGCCTCTAGGGTGCCAGGATCATCCGTCATTTTAACTAGTGGTCTGTTATTTAGTATTCTTAAAGCTTCATCGATCGGCACACTTTGAAATAAAAGCGCTCTTAGAATAGTCCAATAGATGACCGATGAAATGGGAATATTTAACTGTTCTTTTGCGTACTTGCCGACTTTAGTACAAAGAGCACATACTGTTAATTCCATTCTGGTTAGGTTTCCATGATACTCACGAACTTTGAAACATGATTCTTTTGTTCGGATGTTCCACTCGATTCCCAGAGTTCGCTTACTCGTCCCATTAGACTCGCAGACGGTAACGTTTCCTTCAGTACGGTCTTCCTCTGGGTCGAACTCCAACACTTCAATATTATTGCTAGTCCATTTAGTTAAATTATATCGTCCCAAACTTATGAGTCTTTTAAGATGTGAATACGTCAGTTTAGCTTCTTCTATAGCATCCATACTTAACAATAAGTTGTCAACATAAAACTGTCCCTTAGTTAAGTGCGTAACAACTCTGGGAAATTCATCTTGATTGTCAGAATTCGTTTTCTGCAAGGCGAACGTGACGCTACATGGCAATGAGGTTACTCCGAACAGACAGACTTTCGTTCTATAGATCTCTGACTCCTTTTCTAAGTCCCCACCTGGCCACCACAAATACCTAAGAGCATCTCGATCATGCACCGGAACTACTACTTGATGGAACATAGCTTCAATGTCCGTCGTAAGACCTATCGGTCGTTGCCGAAACCTGGTAAATACGTCTACTAGGTTATTGACTAAATCAGGTCCAGAATAAAGATTCTTGTTTAAAGACGTTCCAGCATACTGAGCTGCACAATCAAAAACTATTCTTAACTTGTTAGGCTTCTTGGGATGAAAGACAGGGTGATGAGAAAGATACCAAATTCGTCCATCAACGTGGTTATTGTTTACCTTTTCAGTATAATCTCGTTCTATATACTGAGTCATAGTGCTCGTATAGTCTTGGAGCAACTTCGTATCCCGAATAAGTCGACCCTTTAAACAGTTAAGTCTACGTTCTGCTAATTTCTTATTATTAGGTAACTTGTGTTCGTGCCTCCAAGGCAGAGCTATTCGATAGTGCCCATTTAACCTTTGCACTGAATTTGATATAGCATTGAGTGCTATACAGTCTTCTACAGACATCGGCGTAATACAACTAAATGGATCTTTGAATTCAGTTGAGTATAGTTGTTCAAACTTGTCCTCTAATTCCTCTTTATCTGAGAGGTAATTAAGTACACGTTTGTTTCCATGAAGTTCCCCGTAGGGACCAAACAACGTCCAACCTAATAGAGTCCTCACGGCAGACGGTTCATTCGTGTTTCCGGTTCTTATCTCTTTCATCTCGTGTATATTCGGTACATTACACCCAATCAACAGTTTGACATTCTCGTTTTTTACTCTCGGAAAACTTATGTCTTTTAAATGAGACCAGGTTGCCATTTGATTTGCCGTTGGCACAGTCCTGTGAACCGACGGTAGTTTTTCGACTGTCAACACTTTCTGCACCTTAACAGATGACGAAAAATCTATCGAGTGCAACTCTACATCAACCTCCTTGGATATAAAAGACGATTCATTACTAAGAGTTTTTAAAGACACAGTTTTTGGTTTTCCCTCGAGGCTTAACTCCTTAGCTAGATCATCAACAATGAGGGACGTATCTGACCCACTATCTAGCAAGGCGCAAGTCTGAATAATCTTCTCACCATTTTTTAACCATACAGGCACCACTGCAAATGCTACTGGTCTCTGCATACGCTTAACACTTTCGTCCGTACAGAACTGGGTATTAATGTAAACATCACTATTGCTAACTTTCTGTTCTTTCTGCTTCTCGTGTAACAGGGTATGATGTCTCCAACCGCATCCTTCAACAACACATGACCTCGGCGATCGACAGTTTCTTGCTACGTGGCTAGCCTTCAGACAAACATTACATAACTTGTTTCTAAGAACGAATTCTTTCCTTTCTCTAACATTCTTGTCTTGAAACTTCTTACACTGATCTAAAGAATGATTACCTGAGCACTCCAAACAGGATGAACTAAGTAAAGGGACATTGTCATCATTAATACTCGCGTAAGATATCCTTGCTGCATTGTAATCTGCACTAATTCTACCTTTTAAAACCCCAACATCCCTATTGTCACTATTACTACCGCGATTGACGAGTAATCCATACCGAGTATTAGCCATATCCGCTTGTTCCTTTACAAAGGCAGTAAGGTCGGCGAACAGAGGCTCACGACCTCCTCTGATAATCTTATAAGCTGTCTTTAGCCACTTTTGTTGAAAATGCGTCGGTAATTTCAGAACCATAGCTTCAATAGTCCTGGTAGAGTTCAGGTCAGAAACGTAATTCATTTGTTCGAGAGTCAAACAGCATGCTTGCATTTCCCGGGACAATTTTCTTAAACCATCTGGTTGGTTCCTTTTTATATTGGGAAAATTTAGCAAGTTGTCGATGAACGTGCGTGCTATTACGTGCTTTTGACCAAATGTTTCTTCTAAAAGCTTTAGGGCTTGATGATAGCCTATCTCTGGTTCTAGTATAGCACAATGAAGGATGGCGGCTTTGGCTTCGCCGTCACAATATTGAATCAAGTAATTTAGTTTAGCTCTAAATCCAATATTTTCACATCCGATGCATTCCTCGAAATTTCTAATAAAATTCCAGTAATTTATTGGTGTGCCATCGAATCTTAAGATTTCCCTTTTTGGTAAATACAGATTTTTTAATATTACATCCTCGTTGTTTATTGATCGACCGAGACCCTCACTTCCCTGGCGACGTAACTTTTCTAACTCAATTTCCTTTTCCAACTGAGTTATACGTAGTCTAGCTAACTCTAATTCTATCATGCTATTAGTTTTGGGTTTGTCCTTTTCAAGTTGGTCCTCATCATAAACTCCTAGATGATGAGGTGATAACTCTGGAATCTCATCGGAATCGTAGTATTTATTAGAAGTCATTTTTGTGTCGAGGTTTACTGTTCGAAACTTTGTAGGAAGCAATTTCCTACAGGGGTAACTTTAAGCTATTCTCTAAACTGTCGAATACAGAGTCTTGGTTTCGCCAAAGTCAAAACAAGTAAGCTATTTGGCTTAATAAACTTTATCTGTTTCTAAAACGTAAATTAGCAACATTAGTATGCGAATAAACAGTAGTCTATTACATAGTGAAAGGGAGAAATATAAATGACATACCGAGCAGTAACTGGAGAATAGGAAAAGTGAGTCAAAAAGGGGGAATATTGTTTCAGAATGAACATAAAATTGTGATTGGTGGATAAAACAAAGACAGTCATACAAGGTCAAAGAATTTAGTGCGGTGGTGAGCGTTTCACCTATCATTGGTGTGTTCACTTATCGATCACACTTTACAGCGGCCTGTGTTTCACCACGAAGATAACTAGGCATAAGTAAGTATATAAGTTCTTTTCAAGTATGATGTGATCATGTAGATAAGATTATGAACGTTCATTGTGTGGACCAACCAGAACAGAATGTTTCGTGCATGTTTACTGAATATTAGTCTACTTCCACAAAGGTTTTAAAATTCGAATTCATGATTCAATGTAAGGTAGACCATTACTAAAAATCTGGAAGCACTGAACGGTTGTTTCGTCCCAACATGAGACTTCTCAGCAGTACATAACCACGATCCCTCACGCGGCACCTGAATCCATCGGACCTTCGATCTCGAGAGTGAACCCTTAACTTCAACTCATGAATTCAACACAATAATTCTTAATTATTACTTTTATGATAGAGGACTTACCTAAAATAGAATAAAGCTTTTTCAAATGGTACCAATATAAAATATGATTTAAAAATTATGTATAAAATTTATTATTCACAGATTGAATCTCATTTTAATGATTTATTGATTGATTATTGATTATTGATTATTGATTGATATCTTAACATAAATGTGTACTGTAAAAAAAGAAAAATCAATAAAATAGGGGTTGATTCTTCAGTGTTAAACAGAGTTTACTTTTATTGATAAATAAGCTTGTGATTGAACTTTATACTGATAGATACTCTGCCTGTAGTCCCTCTGTAGGCTACTGCCGGTTCTAAGCCTGGATAAAGGAAGAAGGTTGGGTACTTTTGCTATTCCATAAAGATAGTAAGATCTTTTAATCGAAGAATTCGAATCCGGTGATTACGATAACAATTAGAGGATCACACTTCCAAATTTTATTCATTTCAGTAGTAAATTGTCCAACCGATATTCAGTTTTATTTAACCTTTTCTTTTAATGTAAGTTGTTTACAATCCGAATTTATAGACAAATTCTGTTAATAATTATCAGACCAGTACAATTATTTTTATTTGTTTATTTAAACACATAAACATCAGTACAAAGAGGGCACCGAATAGATATGGGCCACATAAATCATTCAATCTACATGAGGGCTGAGATATTGCCCTCTTGCCAAACCGAAGCAGGTGGTCTTCATAGGAGGCTACACATCGAGCCTTTCATCTAAAAGTCTAATTAACAAGGCAGTGAAGCGACGTCAGGGGATGCAGTCACATGGTAGATGGTGACTAACAATAGGTCATACATCATTCATTCCCTGAGGATTATGGAACCCATGTACACTATTGGTTTGGAATCAAGGTTTTCAAACTCCTATAGATGGATCCTCTATATCCATTAACCTGGTTAAATCGCCAAACATTCTCTTTTCGTCCTCTCAATTTCATAAAGAACACCCGTAGTGCGAGAAGGTAGTGAGTAGGACTTCCCTGTCAGTGGTTGTATGCACGTGACCATATGAGAACATTTCGAGATAGAGAGATGACTCTTTTCACTCTTGGCCGTACCAGGGCGTTTCTTTTAAAAGTCAGTTCATGATGAAAACTATTACAACATACAAGATAACTTACATATTTATAGAGATAGATAGATTGATTCAAGCAATTGTATCTTTCTGTTTATTCTCTGAATTAGTTTGTTCCAATGTTTGAAATGTAACATTTTGTTTAGTTTGTTCATTTTCACGTATAATCCATTCATGATTTAATGCTTCATTTGGTGTAATTCTTTCATCAGGATCCCATCTAATGTATCATTTTAAAGAAAAAAAGTAAAATCTAAACTAGAAATTGTATAATATTTAGTTGATATTGACAGTATTACTCGAACTCCGCCTGTAGCTCCTCCGGTGGCTACTGCCGGTCCCAAGCCTGGATAAAGGAGGAGGGTTGGGCATTGGGTCAGTGACTCGATCCCGTAGAAAACTAACTCGCTAAAAAAACACTAACCAGTGTTACTCGAACTCGGTACCTTCCGATTCAATCGCTTACATAAGTTATTTAATGAACTACTGAAGCCGTATTCCAAAGTTTGTGCTGATGGCATCGTTCAGAAGAACGATGATAGCTCCACGACCAAACCATCTAGCTCAAAGAACAAAACTTCATCAAAATCATTCACCTGAACTACAAATCTTCACCGTCTAGTAGGTTTACTTATGAGGTTTACTATACCATAGATCGTTTACAAAGTTCCGGAAATATGTAGTAACCATACAAGCAGTGATCTAATCAAAACATATTCCATACTCTTAAATATTTATAACTGTTTCTGTAAAGCTTCTATTAAATACCCCTTTCCCTTGGCTTTATGGAAAATTTGACAAGGGACCCTCACAGCAGTAAACAATAAACAACTTTATGAAAATAGTTTCACTCATATTTCCAACATTCAGCTTTTTTTCAGGGTTAAAAAGTTTAAGATTTTGTAAAACTAGAAGATAATTAAGAAAGTTAACGTCTGAACAAATCAAACCTTAAAGTAGTATTGTGGTGTGGGTTAATTATATCCACATAAGTAGTATATGGTGATGGTCAGGTATAGAATGTATGGATGTCAGATTTTAGTGAGATAGTCTGTAATTTTGTGCTCACATATATTGGATTGTCCTCACTCGTGTTCTGTCCACTACAGTACTTTTGATCCATTGTGAGGTATATTCGTATAGAATTTCTGAATCATTTCAAATTTAGACGAAACAGATATTCAGTACTTCCAGAAAACGCCAATTTTTTGTATTCTAAAGCGCGGACTGATCTTGGTTGAATGATAATTGAAAGTCATATGTCAATAGATAGGTGATTCACTCTCGTACAGGAATCTTTAGAAGTGAGGAATCGAACTCAAAACTGTCAGATCTCATGAAGAATATGTAACCTGATCACTAATCATTCAGCACTCTATGGTTTACATTTCTAGTTTAGTACTTCCCCGCACAACCATTCTCTTACGCAATTACTGTACAACTTTACTAGTGTTGAATTTACACTATAACACTGAGAGTTACATTTAGAAATCATTCACCAAAGACAAAATGATGATAACGATATTGGTCTATGGTTATTTGGACTTAATACCTAAGTGATGTTTGAAGTGAAGACTGTTAGATTCGAGTCTCATAGTGAATAACTGACGAACCCTCAATAAGATGAAATATACGCTCTAGATCTTACTGATAGTCATCATCCATCTCTATTTATAATCCTTACGACTTAATAGCACTATCAATGATCCATATATATATATATATACCAGAAGGGATTCATCAATATCAAGTCCTAAACATCAATGATGGAAAGATTCAAACCATCCATATAAATGAACTAACTTACGTTAAACATTGATTTAATAAATTGATAAATTTCAAATCAACAGTTTTGACTAGATTCTCTATTGTTTCAGTGCCTGGTATACGTTTACGACCACGACTATTAGTTAAATATCTTGGTGTACGTTTAGAATCTGTCGGAAATAAGGTTCGAACGGAAAAAACAAAAGATTTTGGTTTATTTCTTTGAAAAATCAATAAATGTTTTCATTCATGAATGAATTAGTCGTTAGGAGTCTCGATGACATTAACACCGGTTAAATGTCGTATCAGTGGTTTAGAGGTTAGGCGTTCATTCACGTGATTGAAGGTCTTGGGTTCAAATCCCGCATACGGGATCATGAATGCATACTGGTGAAGAGTCAGATACCACTTGAACGAAATGGCCGTCTAGTTCTTCGATGTTTTCAATGATGGTTTAACATCAATCAATTCATTATCTTATTCAAAACTGAATTCATTGAAATAAGATCTTGGAGTGAAAGGAAGGCAAATTCTCGCTAATCATTGATATCTTTATCCAAGTTGTAATGTTTCAACCGATAAACTTCATTAAAATGTTACATAGTCAATGACTCTTAGTTGTCAACAGAGACTAATTGATTAAATTCTGTACATCAAATTATTACAACTAAAGCTAACAACTATCAGAATGATAGATTCGTGTTGACTGGTGATATTGAGAAATTAACTTTGAATGCCAGATGGTTAGTGATAGTCAGTGGAAAAACTCAAACATGGGTTTCATTCTGAATGGAACTCGGACACAAAGTGTACCGACATTCTTTAGTGTACCGATACTTCCTGGTGGCTTTGAATCTGAGTCCTCTAATTTTATAACGTGAAACGTTACCATTTAGCTTTTGGAACCACAATTAACCACTAATAAGTGACCAATCAATGGGAAAACTGACTTATTAACTTACAATTACCACTTTACATCTCAACAGAGTGAAAACGATGTCCAGCTATTTAGACCAGTGGCTACACTGCAATTCGATCGACTGAATTCCATCAAGGTTAAAAAGGACTCACCGTACATTAGATTGGTCACTACTCAGCAATCAATCAATTATAAATACATTACATTCTTTCAGGAGATCAGTCGCTGTCCGGATAGCTATTTGGCAACGCATCTGACTACAGGTACACCCTGCTGAGGAGTGTAGGACAACATGAAATCTACCTTAAGTAGGGTTTCTTATCTACTACTTTCAACCGCCACCTTAATAATTGACTTATACTAGACAATTCATAAGATAATAATGGTTTGCCAGAAATTATTACCTATTTTCAAAGAAACTGATATCAAGTTTATAATATTATATCAGAGGGGGGTTTCGTAGAGATTTTAGTAATTTTATATAGTTGAAATCATGAGTCAATTGAAGCTAAACCACCATGGAAAACGAGGAAGCACTGGACGCTCGTCCTGGATTCGAATCTCGCGAGGCGGGATCGTGGATGCTCACTGACACTGAGGAGTCCAACAATAGGACGAAACGGCCGTCCAGTGCTTCCAGGTTTTCCATGGTGATCTATCTTCAATTGACTCATGATTTCAATTCTATAATACAATAATTTTAAACATTCTTCCAGAAATACACACTAAGTTTAATAGAATAATCTTGATCCTAATTTCGGTATCAGATGAAAATCCAAGAAGCATTCAATGGTTATTTTATATTTATTGGGACTAATCAACAATTCGCTCATCGTTGACCTCATACCGGTTTAAGCTTGAATGTATCTTGACGATCAAGCCTTATGTCTCCACTCCTAATTTCAATGAGTAACACTGTACAATACCATCAAACATCTTCTATGATATAGTACTGTAATGTATGCTACTTATGTTGACAGATATAAGTAGTAGGTAACATCAGTTAGAAGTTATCTTACCAAAAAATACTCTTCGTCTACTAGCTTTCTCAAGGTGTAATTCAGATGGTAAACCAAGTACTTCCATAATACAAGCTAATTGTTCATTTTCATTTTCTCCAGGAAATAATGGACGACCTAATTATAAATAGATGGAAGGAAGAAGCAGTAATACCAACTATAAATTCAGTAATTAAGTTGTTACAAACACATTTGATATAAGTGGATTATTTTTTTGAAGGGGTTTTGTTTGTAGGTTTTATTCGTCACAGAATAATTACAATTGTTGTACTCTTGAAAATCAGGGATCACTGAACAGGTATCTAACCCTAGAACTAGACACCTTAGAGATTTGCACCTTTCTTTACAATAGCCTATTCAAGTAGAACTAGGACGATCATCTAACGATTTACTCTCTTCATGATGATCTTGAAGTTCTTATCTAATGTCGTTGCCAGTGTTTAGGCATGTCAGGTGTGAAATATTTGTGACAAATGTGATCAAAAGATCATCTTGTTATATCACTTACGGACTGAAGTTGGGGTTGTACAGTTAAATACTGACTTGGTGACTGTAATAATTACATGTTCATTTCAAGACCTCAATGACCTGGGTTCTATTCCTGGTTAAGTCTTGTGTGTGAACTTTAGAGTTCTATACTACAACTGGTCAGCTATTTAACGTTACCTGGTTTAGAAATGAGATCATTTTGTAACAAAAACAGCAACTTGCTAGAAAAAGTCAACATATTTTTAAGATGCCATGATGCATTTATTTTTGGATTGAAGGCCTCCAAATGCCCTGGTACAGCCGAGGACGAGGAGATTCCGCTCTCCCTCTCGAAATGCCCTCACATGGCAACGCGTATACAGCCACTGTCAGGGAATTGCTTCTCACTACGTTCACGCACTACGGGTGTTGTTTACGAAATTAAGAGGACGAAAATCGAATGTCTGGCGATTAATCGGGTTGTTGGATATGGAGAATCCATCCAAAGGAGTAGGAAAACTCTGAATCGAAACCAATGGTACACATTGGTTCCGAGATCCTGAGGGAACGAGTGGTGTATGAACCTATTGTTGATCATCGTCTACTATGAGACTGTACCTCCTAATGTTACTCCAGTGCCTAATGAACCAGACCTGTTCTCCGTGTTGTATTTGAGAATATTGCTTTTTCCTTTGTGGATGTTGATGCCTATTGATGCAGAGGTTGCTGCTACATTTGTTGTCTTCGTCTCTATTTGTTCATGTTTATGAGATAGGAGGGCTAGGTCATCTGCGAAGTCCGAACCGTCTAATTGATTCTGTCATGTCCATTGTATTTCGTGCTTCCTGTCAGATGTCGGAGTTTTCATAATCCAGTCAAGCACCAGAAGAAAGAGGAAGTTGGGGGGGAAGTAGACAGCCTCGTCTGACTCCGGTCCCTACTGGAAATGTATCTGTCAGCTGCTGTATGGTTATCAAAATTTAGTGAGATAACCTGTTATTTATGCTTAAATACATTTGATTGTTCCCCACTCTTGTTCTTGTTCACTACAAAGTTACCATCTACTACTTTTCTTCTCGAAGATTCATCAGTAGAAGATCGTTATGGAATAGGATGTAACTAATGAGGTTAATATCATTTAATGATATAACTATATATAAGTTTTTAAATCTTACCTGTATATAATTCAGGTAGAATACAACCTAAACTCCACATATCAATTGGTGGACCATATGTGATACCTAAAATAATTTCTGGTGCTCTATAAAAACGTGATTGAATATATGTATAGGCTGAATAGTTAAAATATAGAATAGAAAAAAAAAGATGAGAATAAGATTTAGTTTAATCATATGGATAAGATGTAAATAATTGAATTAATGAGTTAATGGAAGCTAGACCAACATCATGGACGATTGCTCAATTCTGTGGATCAGTTGAAATTAGACATTAACACCGTTTGATGCCGGATACCGCTCACGCACGAGACTGATAGGTCTTGAATTCGAATCTCGCAATGTGGGTAGTGAGGAGTTTCACAATGGGACGAAATGGCCGTCCAGTGCTTCCAGGTATTCTATGGTGATCTAGCTTCAATTGACTTACTATCTCTTATTACGTTTGATATATACAGTGGGATTTCCATTTATTAATAGTCTATGAAAATTCATTTTTCGAGATTCCTATTTAACCCATCAATATAGTTGACAAGATGCTTTGTATTTCGTCTACAAAAAACATTTGAAAGTGAGGAGTTTCGCAACCCTCATGATTTATCTATTCACCTTTCATTGCATATTATTTGTAAGAATTTTGCATTTTGCCTCCTTTAAGAAGTACAAATAAATAATTTGTATTAATATATTTGTATTTTTGGAGAATCGTCTCGGTAATTCTATCCTGTTAAATATTCATATGCCCACCAAATGCCTTGGTACGGTCGAGAGTGAGGAGAGGCCGCTCTCCCTCTCCAAATGCTCTCACATGGCCACGCGCATTCAGGTACTGTCACGGAAGCCCTACTCACTGCCTTCTCATGGCATACTGTTGTTTACGAAATTGAGAGAACGAAAATCGAATGTCCGGGTTGGTGGACACGGAAAGTTCACCTAGAGGAGTTGGAAAACCCTCATTCCAAACCAATGGTGCACATGGGCTGGCTCCAGTATCCTGAGGGAATAAATGGTGTATGAATCAATCGTTGGTCACCGGCTACCATGAAAATGCATCTCCTCACAGTGCTCCACTGTCTTATGGATCAGTCCTTTCGATCAAATGCTCCAGGTGTGGCCCCCTAAGAAAACCACCTGCTTCGGTTTTGGCACCTGGGCAATATCACAGCCCTTAGACATATCAAATAATATTTGCTTGGCGCATATGTACCTGGTGCCTCTTTGTACCAATATTTATGTGTTTAAATAAATATTCACATGGATTTTATAAACTGGTAACCGTCTGAATTCGATAGATTAATAAATATGGAGTTCAGCATTTGAAGCATAAGCTACTGAGTTCGAGTCTCACCACATAGTATGTCAACAATGGAATACAGGTTACTTCGTCGAACAAATTCTAGACAGGAGAAAACTCTTTCATTTCTATTTTTTGATATGTTTGATGCTATTACGAGTTCACTTTACTTGGTAAACGGAACGAAATTCAGTGACACAGCGATGTGATAGGTTAATTCTAATCCATTGTCCCTGGTCATGCTAACTAGATCAAGAAGTCTTGATGAGGCGTAGAGAATATATTCTACAAGTACTCACAAAATACGAGGTCTTTAAGCACACAAATCAAGATTATTTACACCAAGATAGAAACGCCCTTGAGAGAGCCACAAAATAACGTAGTGAAAAAATCCATCAACCAATGACAATCAAGGAATTCCGAGTGGAATATATAAACTGTAGGACACCTAAGCGTTTCTTGGCACGAAAACATGAAATTCAAATGTCCACAATTGATTGATCACTGGGTGGTGATCAATGTCATGCGTGTCAAGTCCTTCTTAGTGCTGATCGAATGTTATCGATCAAGTTGCAATTTGGCAACTAGTCTAGTTGGCTCGACACTGCGTGCTCTATGTTGAGATAAGATGGTGGTTGGAGGTGGTCAACAGGAAACCTTGGATCTGGGTTTCGTGCTACTTGGCATTTGTTAGTAAGGTGTACCTGTGATCTTGAGGGAACTGGTGCTCCATGACGGACTTTTTCCAAGTGAGTTCTGGGGACCTAACTTCCTCAACAATTTTCTCAAATGTTTCTGTTATATCTAGAGCCTTGATTTTTAATATGCCGCGAACTACTTGACTACTTGAACGATAGAACCCGCAACGTCGCAAAGAGAGAAGACAAAGACTGGTAAGCAGGAAGTTTATCGCCCCGAACAATGTCAAAATATAGCACAGAAATCTCGTGTATTTATAGTTTTTGGCTGAAAGTAAATTATCATTTAGGTCAACCAATAAGCACATAGGTATCAAACTAATCCATCCAATGGAGAAGCTTCACCTTGGCATTTCTAGAACATTCCCCTAGCCGTGATTGGATGGAATGTCTGCGGCTCTTCCTGGGCTTCTTAGGGCTTCCGAGAGTCTACCGACGGTCCGTCCTTACAGTTTCTTTATGATCACAGATTATGGTTGAAATATTTTCATACATCAGCCAATATTCTATCCAACTTAACACAAACAAACTTATATTTATATAAGAATAAATTAAATCATTTCATTATTATCAGAAGTGGGTTTTGTAGAGATTTTTAGTAATTTCAATAGTTGAAGTCAATTGTAGCTAGACCGTCATGGAAAACCTGAAAGCACTGGATAACCGTTTCGTCCTATTGTAGGACTCTTCAGTGTCAGTGCGTATCTATGATCCCGTCTCGATAAGATTCAAGGAGCCCTTATAAATTTCAATCAATAGTTATGATATAATGAATTGCTGCTTACTTTTTTGATGAACAAAACAACTTGAACCAAAATCAATCACTTTTAATTCTGATGGATTATTCAAACCAATAAGAATATTTTCCTAAAAAAAATTATTCATTAAAAGTAAATTAATCTTATCTATAGAATTCTCAAAATGATCAAATATAAACAAAGTTATACATAATTATCAAGACAATAAGCACAGTATGCACAGATGCCGATGAAAGACTGACTAATTGAAGTTCTAAAACATCAATGGGAAGATCTAAGTAAACAATATCGTGTGAATTTAATCTTCACTCCATTGCACAAGCTAGTGACTATGAGGTCGTAGTGGGTAAGTGGATAATGTGATGGTGTTTGAAGCGAAAGGTACTGGGTTCGAGTCTCAGGGTGAACATCGATTCTGATGTGTATATACATCCAACTGACTAGTCCCAAATAGGACGAAACGCGCATCCTGAACTTCACTACTAACCATGTCAACTGGATGTACCTGCATCTCAGAGTTGTTATTCATTCTGGAATTCAAACCAAGTGCCTTTTGCTTCAAACGCCATTGCGTTATCCACTCCGCCATTGAGTCCTGATAGCCACTTGCTTGTGCAATGGGGTGAAGTTTAAATTCACTTGGTATTGTTTGTTTGAATCTTCCCATTGATGTTTAGGACTGCAACTAGTCAGTCTCTAATTGGCATATATGCATACTGTGTGTATTACCTTGATATAGCCTAGATTCACAAGCATGGTAAGTAAAGATTGATAGTGGCTAGTAGTGGAATCCAGGATGAGTGTTTCGTCCCATTTGGGACTCATTAGCTGGATGTACCTTCATCTCAGAGTTGATGTTCACTCTGAGACTGGAACTAAGTGAATGTATACACATAGTTATTCAGATACTCAAATACAAGTAGGCTGCTCATTTATACACTAAAGAATTACAGATTAGTTTATTTAAAAAGCATTGATGTCTTACTAATAAATATAATTTTATATTATATCCCTGTTATAACTCACAGTTTTCCAAGTCTACATGATTGGGATGTTGATTTGCCTTAGACAATTCTTTAAACTCGATTCCCATCCAGTGTCTATTCTACAGGACTTCAACACAATTCAGATCAAGAACACGTGATTAGCCTGACTAGAACGTAAATATATTACCACACTAAAAACAGACAACAATCCGATACAATCCAATAATAATAAGGGTAATAGAATATATAACTCATCTAGTACCTGTTAGACATTCTAAAGGTCTGACTAAGGAAACAACCGATCATTATCATTCTTGGCCATACATCAATCTCAATGCGTAGGAAAAAATGGTATTTCTGATATTTCGTAACTCAATGTCAGTCACTACACTTCAGAAGTGTCTCAATTTATTTGAAACGATCAATTTCAATTAGGGTATGGATACCTATGAAGATATCTTACATTGTTACTGATGAAAAAAACGAAATGTTAATTCTGTCTACTACTACGAAATGACCATAAATTGGTAAAAATTGAAAACTGAGGATCACTGGTTATTTGTTTTGCCCTATTGTGACACCATTAAGTAGTGACCGTTCACAACTTCACCGATAATCAAATCTAGGACATTCAGGAATCTTTCAGAGTGTTTGATCTTCAAATCATTTTGGTGGTGTCTAACGGGTTACATATCTAGATTTAATCACTTGGCAATATTGATTATTCATTTTTTTATAGACATTGATAAATGACTATCTTCCATCTTATCATAGTCGAACTCCACTGATCAAAGATTCACATTTCCAATGTATCTTAACGGATGCCTGAAATTTATGATATATCTGAATAAAAAAATTATTTTGTGGAAGACAATAAACATCTAACCTCAGTTAAAAGAAATAATTAATCGTCGAAAAATTTGGAAATATTCCATAGTTATACAGAATAAATCCGACCTAATTCATGTATATTATCAAAACTGTTTAACTCAGTAGGCTGATAAATTTAATCACAAAATGAAAATCTACGCTTTTTATAAGCAGAGATGGATAGTGGCTAGCAGTGGAATCTAGGACGCGCGTTTCGTCCTATTTGGGACTCGTCAGCTGGATGTACCTGCATCTCAGAGTTGATGTTCACTACACAACTCGAACCCAGTACCCTCACTTCATACGCCATCGCGTTATCCACTCGGCCACTGAGTCCTGATAGCCACATATGCCAATTAGAGACTGACAAGTTGCAGTCCTAAACACATCGATGGGAAGATCCAAACAAACAATACTAAGTGAATTTACGCTTTTTATAGTTTAAAGAAGTGTAAGATAGAAATATCTTAGATTCGAACGTATCATAATCAAGAAAGTACTTAAAGATAGAGGCTTTCACCTGTCTATAAAATTCCTCTAATATATTTTGACAAATAATTCAGACAAAAAGAACTAATTAACATTGATTATCATTATTTACTGAAGAATTCTGACATAATTATCGAAAGATGATTAAATATTTTTTCTACATGCATTGAGGTACTTAAATCAATTAAAGTAGTATAAAATATTCCAAGTAATTTACTTATTCATAATAGTCATAACTTACTGGTTTTAAATCACAATGTATAATACCTTGTTTTCTTAATAGACATAAACAATTCAGTAATTTAATTGTGATTTTTTTCAATGAATGTATTGTAAAACCACGAAAATCATTTTTTCTTAAAAGATCATATAAATTGGAACTGTATAGATTTAAAAAAAGATAAATATAAATGAACAGTTATTTGATTGAATACATATGAATTATGATAAAGGTTATGTTCTATCACGATGTCATACAGGCGATATGTTTGAATATCTGGGCCACATATTCCTGCCATCTAGATATTTCAATAAGTTCTTTGTCTTTTATTATTATAGATTTTGTGGAGGTCGTGGATGCACATTGATGAGGAGTCCTACAATAGGACGAAACAGCCTTTCAGTGCTTCCAGGATTTCCTTGGTGCTCTAGCTTCAATTGACTCATGCTTGCAACATTGTTAAATGTTTGATGTGAAAGATACTGCATCCGAGTCCCAATGTGAATATCAACATCGATATACACATACATCATCTAGTCTATTAAACCAACTAGATCATTTTTGTCTCTCTCACTGGGTAAAAGTACAAAGTTAAAGGATTCTTAGAAGCGTAAGACACTGATAACACACAAATTAATGTACATATTGACATTGACCTGAACTATCAACCAATAAGGACAAAGATAAAAAAAACTCCAAGGTCATGGATCAGGTCAAAGATGAAAATAACCGAAACAAACTCTTGCACAACGGCCATATACAATTATGGCGAACATCTAACTAAATTCTAGTTTGGTAGAATACAGACAACCAGTCAATTATAAAGAAATTCTCACTACTCATTTCTTAAAGAAGTGTATACTGATGATGTTGTCTAGAAGAACAGTGTAAGATTTATGACCAAACCATCTTGTTCAGCGAATAAAGCACCCACAACATCTTTATTTTAAGTGACATACATACTCCAATATCAGAAGAGGGTTTTTTTGAGATTTCAGTGATTTAATAGTTGAATTCATGAGTCATTTTAAGTTAGACCACTATGGGAAACCTGGAAGCACCAGGTGGCCGTTTTGTCTTAGTATGAGGCTCCTCAGCATCGCCTATCTACGATCATGCTCTCTGGATTCGAATCCAGGACCCTCGATCTCTCGAGTGAAAGCTTGACCACTAGATCACTGAACCGGCAACCAACAGTGTTAATGTCTAACTTAAAAACCAATTTACGATATTGCTTCACCGTTTACCATTATCTTCAGTGAGTTACTATCTCACAACAGACCTGATTGAACTCTACTGTTCACAGCTTCTCACTAGAACTCCAATATCTCAGAAACTCCTCGCCGTTTACAATAAAACTATGTGATGGCGAAAATCAGTGTGTAAGCTGGTTAGTAAACTATCACTCACACTCTCTCTACCACACACACACACACACACACAAAGGAATATATTATAAACTAATTGACAATGAACTTACCCTAATAAATCAAAGACAATACACAAATGATTACGAAATGTAAAATGATCTCTAATATGGATAATATTATGAATATTTTTATGATCCGCTTTTTTCAAATTCTCTAAAATAGCTACTTCCACTTGAGCTTGTTGATGAAATCTAAACAACAACAAAATGGATAAAAACAAAAAAAAACACTAAAATTAGTATATCAGTAGTATTGAGTGGATTTGAGAAGATTGTTGAATTACATGGTTTATATGATTATTTACTTACTTCTTTATGCCTGTTACCACTCCTGGAGGAGTATAGGCCTAACAACAACATTCTACATCTAAACCTGTCTTGGACAATCTATTTAATGGAATTGGAAAACCTTGATTCCAAATGGCGTATGGACCTATTGTTGGTCATCGACTACAATGGGATTTTATCTTTTAACATTACTCTACTGTGTTGTTTATTAGACTTCTAGAACAAAAGCTCGGGGATTCATCCTCAAAGAAAACCACCTGTTTAGATTTGGTCACCCAGGTAGTATCCTAGCCCTCACACGAATTCAATGATTTATGTAACGCATATGTATTTGGTGCCTTGAAAAATTGGATGACCATTTCGCCTTTGTATGGGATCGCTCAGCAGTAAGCATCCATAATCCACAACCAAAATTTTAACTAATGATCTTCGGTCTCACATGCAAATGTTTAACATTTAGATTTTGATCGGTTAGTGATTTCAATATGATTCAACAGTCTCCACAATGTTATATTGATCAATGAAGTTGTTAAGGAAGAACATTAAAGAAGTATGAGCAGAATATAGTTAGTAAAGGAAAAAGTGTAATTATGAGTATTCTTGTTTTTGTTGGTGGTGGTGGTGTTGTAATGAATGAGTTATGTGAATAGTAGTAGTCAAGACATCTCAGTGGAAATATCAACTCTAATAACAATCATAATCAATTATAGTAAATCAGTGTGAAGTTATTCATCCATATGTCTACAGTATGGTCGCATTATCGAGTGTTCTTCCGACCATTTAATAGGTTAATCCTGTTTGTTGGAGTGTGATTTTTACTGAAAACTTAATCCCGAACTCTTGTAGTTTACCCAAATTTGTCTACTATGAACGATCAGTTAGATGAATCTCAATACTGTTTCATAGTTGAAATCATGAGTCGATTGAAGCTAGACCACCATGGTAAACCATGAAGCACTGGACGACCGTTTCGTCCTATTATGGGACTCCTCAATGGCAGTGCGCACACATTATCCCACACTCGCGAGATTCGAACACAGGTTCTACCAGTCTCGCGCCAGAGCACTTATCCGATAGACCACTGAGCAGGGATCCAACGGTATTAATGTCTAACTTCAACCAATCCACGAAGTTGAGAAACTGTTTACCAACTGTCTTCAGTGAGTTCAACGAAGTCTGTTGTAGAGATATCTCACACGTAATAAACATTGAAAAATATATAACACAAACTCTTCTGCATATCAAAATCCTCCTTTACAAAATAGGAGTGCTCAATGGAGTAGATAGAAATAACTAAATATGCTTATCAGAACTATAGAATGGTGAAGAGAGGAATCTAACAAATCATTTTTTGTATGCTTAACTCAACTAGAAAATTATAGCTTACCATAGCTTATTTAATAGAAAGTAGGTTGGTATATTTGGGGGTACCTAGCCTGTCGTATGCCCTGATGGTGTTATAGCAACCATCCTATAATCAATTCTGATTATAGTCAACTTTGGTTAAGCCCTTTTTATTAACTTCCTTAACACACATCGTTATTTGGATAGTAACAATTTGCATATTCTTTGCACTGCTATACCACTAGAGCACATGACACTCTAGCCGAAATGTTGACTGCTTAAATATCATTCGATGACTCATACTCCTCCCCATATATGTACGCACACAAATATTATTATCAGCCTTTGTTTTGCTTTGCTGTGCCCTTATTAAATTTGACTATAAATTGCCTATGTAATTGCTTGCTACTCGCTCGCTTGCTCCTCGTTCGTTTCCTTCGCTTATTCGCCTGTTCACTCGCTCGTTGATATTCGCTCAGGTGTTGTTAGCTTTCGAACTTGAGTTATTCGACAATAAACTGTAATTGCTGTTATCCTTTGTCTTCTGATTTTACGCACCGTTAAGATTAGAATCATAACGGTTATCGAAGTAAACGATTAACGAATCGCGGCACTACAGTGTTCTCGTGACTTTCGGATTGCCAAGGGCGATTGGACAGTAAATGAAGGTATTGTCGTGTTCTAGGTTCAAAGAGAATTGTTAGCTATATGCATACAAATCCGCCCCGTTATTGTTCCTAATGTATTGTTGGTATATTTGATTGCACTTTGTAAATGATGTCAAACGATAATGTGAGAGTTGAATGTCGTATGTTTATTGCATATTAAAGAACTAATGATGTAATTAACTTATTTCGACTTGTGTTAAGCTTTACTGATAGACGCTACAGAATGCGATGAAACAGTAGTTTTGACAACCGACCTACTTAACTAGCTCTACACGAGCAGGTAAATGGATCGTAAGCAAAGATGTAAAGTGGCTAGCAGTGGAATCCAGGAAGCGCGACACTTCGTCCTATTTGGGACTCGTCAGTTGGATCTGCCTGCATCTCAGAGTTGATGTTCACTCCACAACTCGAACCCAGTACCTTTTGCTTCAAACGCTATCGCATTATCCACTAAGCTACTGAGTCTTGATAGCACACTTGCTTGTGCGATGGGGTAAAATTCAAATAAACAATACTAAGTGAAGGTGAACGGATCATTAGTTTGCTAATATACTACTTTGAAAATAATCTTACCGTTTTTTATTTCGAATAATTTTAATCGCAACTGGATAACCGGATTTATGATCAATCGCTCGTATAACACGACCAAATGAACCTTTACCTAAAGTTTCTAATGATTGAAATCTATAAGCGATATGATCATGGGTTATCTGAAATGAAAAAAGACAACAAACGCATATCAATAATAAGAGTTAAATGATGACAATATGTTCGAACCATATAGGGACTGTTGTCCATCAATACAGTCGAAATAGTATTATCATAGTTGAGATCAAGAGTCAATTGAAGCTAGACCACTATGGAAAACCTGGAAGCACTGGACGACCGTTTCGTCTTATTATGGAACTCCTCAACAGTGCGCATCCACTCAGTTGAGAATCTTAACCATTGGATATAGTTTTAGTAGTGTAAAGCTTGGGCTTTGGATATCCTTAATTCATCTCTAAGTAGGTGTGTGTGTGTGTGTAGGTGTACACTAATGAGGAGTTCCATACTAGAACGAAATACCTGTTCTGTGTTTTCTGATTTGAAATAACATTCAGACCAAGATAATTTAGTGTTGTAAACTACAAAATTCATAACACTGACTTAGTTAATTCCGCCTGTAGCTCTTCCAGGGCTACTGTTGATCAAGTGACAATAATTGTAAACTGTCTACGTATCTAGGTATCTTTAAATATTAAATATGAAAATAGTCATGAGTTAATTGAAGCTAGACCACCATGGAAAACCTCGAAGCACTGGATTACTGTTTCATCCTATTGTAGGACTCCTCAGTGGAAGTGCACATCCACGAACTTACCTCGCGAGATTCGAACACAGAATCTATCAGTCTGGTGCACGAACGCTTAACCTCTGGACCACTGAGCTGTCATCCAACTGTGTTAATGTCTAACTTCAATCGATTCACAAAATTGATCGACACATCCACCATTGTCTTCAGTGATTTACTATCTCACGAATCTCGCGAGGTCGAATCGTGGATGTACACTTCGACTGAGCAGTCCCATAATAGGACGAAACGGCGATCCAATGTTTCCAGGTTTCCCACGTTGGTCTAGCTTCAATTGACTCATGATCTCAACTAATTAAAATTACTACCTCCTTCTAATATGTATATACATATATATTACATACTTTTATATATCCACCATTTTCATCATCATAACCATGATTACTTGGTGAACCTTGTATAGCATCAATTTTTTGTGCAGATAAACCAAGATACCATATTTTATTAAAATTTAATATTTCCTCTTTCTCATATGATGTTAACTTCTTGCCATAGATATTTAATGCAGCTGAAATTGAAAAAAGAAAAAGTAAACCAGGTTAATAAGAAGATGGTCAAATCTAGTTGAAATGTCATTCTATTGAGTCAGATGGTTTGATCATGGAACTTTCATTGTTCCCCTGAACAATATCATTAGAGCAGACTTCAGGTAGAAAGGAACTGTTCAAAGATCCCCACATATGAATCATATATTGTCCTGTCAAACTTGATCTTGATTGAATGTGCATATTGTGCGTATTACCTCGATATAGCCTTAATTCACAAGCATTGTAAGGAAAGATGGATAGTGACTAGCAGTGGAATGCAGGATGAGCATTTCGTAGTATTGTTTGTTTAAATCTTTTCATTGATGTTTAAGACTGCAACTGGAGTGTGAATTTAAACTTCACCCCCATTGCACAAGCAAGCGGCTATCAAGACTCAGTAGCTGAGTGGATAACGCGATGGCGTTTGAAGCGAAAGGTACTGGTTTCGAGTCACAGAAGGAACATCGACTCTGAGATGCAGGTACATCCAGTTGACGAGTCCCAAATAGGACGAAGTACCGCGCTTCCTGGATTCCACTGCTAGTCACTATCCATCTTTGCTTACAATTGATCTTGATTAATTATTGTTGACCTTTAAGTTGTTATTGTTTACCTCTTCATTTTCATTGTATCTCACATTGATTTGATTCTTGGTGCTTATATTGTACATGAGAGTAATAAAAGTTTAATGACCAAACTATCCAGATCAAATAACAAAACTTAATTTAAGTTATCTATCTGAGATGACATGTTATAACTTGTGACCTGCGTGCCCTGTTAATATATGACGCGACGATGCCTCCAATTAGAGAGCAGTGAATAATCGATCAGACAAATGACACATGAAACCCGTATGAGCAGTCTAGAGTAACTGTCAGTCCTGCTTTCTGCCTAGCCCAACCAGTGAAATTCAGAACATCAATAACAGCCTCTGCAATATGAACACTGGGTTTATATACCAAACAAACAGACCAAATCATACCATAAAATGAGAAACAACATTTCTTTAAGATTTAGCCAAATGTGGCTGTGAATAAGGGAGATAGTAATTGATAGACTGAGGATAACTCAAGAACGGTAAATCATATATTAATAGTTCATGGGTCAAAATCAAGCTTATAATAAGAGGGACACGAATATGAATAGTTTAGTTAGTTAACAATTATACAGAATGATGAAAAAATCATAAACTAAGCATGAGCTAGAATGTAAATTGCTCTAACTACTCAAAATATCACATAAGAAAAAATGGGACATCTTTTCATCTTCATCTGTATACATGTTGACAATTGTAGATATAAGATGGTAATTGGAGATAGTCAACAGTTAGTCAACCTTGGACCTAGGTTTCGTGCTACTTGGCATTCGTTAGCAAGGTGTAACTGTAATCTTGAGAGGATTGATGCTCCTTAAGGGATTCGATCCAGTGTCACCAAGCTTCACTGTTAGAACGTTACTATTGGGCACTAGGAAGGAACTGACACACATGACATTGATCATCACTTAGTGATCAATTAATTGTAAATACATCTCAGTCCTACAGAATGTCAGTCACGGCACAGATAGCCCAAGGATAACGTCTCTGACTGTGAATCTGAGTGACATTGGATCGAATCTGTCGGCAACAACCAGTCCCCCCTAGATTAATAAAAGTACACTTTAATGACAAGTGTCAAGTAGCACAGAACCCAAGTGCAGAGTATCCTGTTGACTAACTTCAACCAACATCTTATCTTAACATAGTGCAAACAATGTCAAATCATCTAGATTAGTGACCATATTACAACTTGATCGATAGGATTGGATTTGGATTAGGAAGGATTTGTCATACATGACATTATTCACCACCTAGTTAATGATCAATCAATTATAAACTGAATTTTTAAAACATGAAATTACATAAGAAATTCTATTCTTCGTTTGTTTTTTTTTTGTTTTTCAAAAGAATCACATGGATACATCATTCAGGTTTAACAATTTCATGAAGAAAAAAAAAAGAATATTGAACAAACATTTTGTTTCCGTTTTTTTCTATTTGGAAAACTAATCTTTAGTTATAAGCAAAGATGGATAGTGACTAGCAGTGGAATCCAATTTGACATGCGTTTCGTCGTATTTAGGATTCGTCAGCTGAATGAACCTGCATCTCAGAGTTGATGTTCACTCTGGGACTCGAACCCAGTACCTTTCGGTTCAAACGCTATCGAGTCATCCATCTTTGCTTATAATGCTTGTGAATCAAGGAAATATCGAGGCAATACATATAGTATGCATATATGCCAATAAGAAACTGACCAGTTGTAGTTCTAAACATCAATGGGGCGATACAAATAAACAATACTAAATGAATTTAAACTTCACCCCCATTGCACAAGCAAGTGGCTATCAGGACTCAGTAGCTGAGTGGATAACGCGATGGCGTTTGAAGTGAAAGGTACTCGGTTCGAGTTGTGTAGTGAACATCAACTCTGGAATGCAGGTACATCCAGCCTACGAGTCTCAAATAGAAGATACAAACAAGCAATACGAAGTGAATTTAATCTTTAATTAATTGAAAAATCTAGATAATGTAAAAAATTTTAGTTCAAATATGAACTTTGTATTAATGAGAGTTTTATAATATTCATTATGCAATATTTACTGAAACTCCTCCTGTAGCTCATCTAGACTTACTGCCGTTTCCAAGCCCAGATAAAGGAAGGGGGTTGGGTATAAGGTTAGCAACCTTATCCCATAGAAAAAAAATCTTGCTAAAGAAGGACACCAACCAGCTTAAATAGTTACCGAATTGAATTGATCAATCCAAATAGTTACATGAAATTATATTTTTTTCAATACCTTGTGCCTAACAACCTATCAAAATGAGGCAGGAACTATGATTTAACTACTGTAATCTGTGATTGAAGGCTTGTTTTGTTCTCCTTTTTTTGCTGGCTTACATAAGAAATGTGGAGTTTCCAATGACAAAAATACAATTCTATCATGTAACGGATATGTCAAGTGTAGTGTAGTCAGTCATGATGGAAAGAAAATTACAACATACCAGAAATCATATCTACTATAAAATTACTAAAATCTCTATAACACTCTTTCTGATAATAGTCATATGCTCATTAGTGACTGGTTTCAAGAGGTATTTCCTGGAGTTCTAGTGAGAAGCATTGACCAGTGGAGTTCAACTACGTCTGTTGTGATATAGTAACTCACTGAAGACAATGGTGGATATGTTGCTCAATTTGGTGAACTAGTTGAAGTTAGACATAAATGCCGTTGGATGACGGCTCAGTGGCCTAGAGAATAAGAGCTCGCGTACAAGACTGATAGGTCTTGGGTTCAAGTCTCGCGCGGTGAGATCGTGGTTGCGCATTGCTGAGATGTCTCACAATAAGACGAAACGGCTGCCCAGTGCTTCCAGGTTTTCCATCGTAGTCTAGCTTCAATTGGCTAATGAATAAAAAGGCTTAAGGGGTTTATTAGTATTATTTATTTACACTATTTCAACAGATAGCATTGAGACTCAAACCCAATACTTATCATTTTGAATAAAACAAACTTAACACTTCAGCCACTCAGTATCATGATAGTTGAATATAACTGGAATGTAGATATGAGTAACATCATACATGAAATTAATACGTCAACTTGTTTACTAATCAGTTTGGTGAATATTAAAACAACCAAAAGTTTCGTCATAACTAAGTTGATGAATAGCTTGGTTTAGTCTTTATTACAGACCATTGAAAACCTGAAAGTACTAGTCAACCGTTTCATCCTACTATAAAATACCTAATCAATGCATTATAGCAACCATCCTATAATCAATTCCGATTATAGTCAACTTTGGTTAAGCCCTTTTTTATAACTTACTTAACAGACATTGTCATTTGGATAGTAACAATTTGCATATTCTTTGCACGGCTATACCACTAGAGCATATGACACTCTAGCCGAAATGTTGACTGCTTAAATATCATTCGATGACTCATACTCCTCCCCATATATGTACGCACGTAAATACTATTATCAGCCTTTGTTTTGCTTTGCTGTGCCCTTATTAAATTTGACTATAAATTGCCTATGTAATTGCTTGCTATTTGCTCGCTTGCTCCTCGTTCGTTTCCTTCGCTTGTTCACCTGTTCACTCGCTCCCTCGCTTGCCGCTCACTCGCTCGTTGATATTCGCTCAGGTGTTGTTAACTTTCTGACCTGAGTCATTCGACAATAAACTGTAGTTGCTGCTATCCTTTGTCTTCTGATTTTAAGTACCGTTAAGATTAGAATTATGACGGTTATCGAAGTAAACGATTAACGAATCGCGACACTACAGCATATCCACGATCTCACTCACACGATTCGATTCAATAACTTCTATCTTCTTCTATAATATTATCCCGAATGTTGTGCCAGTTTTTTATATAATCAAAATTCAACAGAACATTTTTTAAAACATCTTTATATAAAATCAATAATAATAATAATAATAATAATAATAATCTATAAACAAAGATGAATAGTGACTAGCAGTGAAATCCAGTACGCGTATTTCGTGCGATTCGGGACTAATTAGCTGGATGTATATACATTCCAGAGTTGATGTTCACTCTGGGACTCGAATTCAGAACAGTTCACCTCAAATTCCATCGCGTTATCCACTCAGCTACTGAGTCCTGATAGCCAGTTGCTTGTGCAATGGGGTGAAGTATAAATTCACTTAGTATTGTTTGTTTGAATCTTCCTATTGATGCTTTAGGACTGCAATAGATCAGTCAGTTATTTTCATAGTTGAAATGATGAGTCGATTGAAGCTAGACCACCATAGAAAATCTGAAAGCACTGGACGGCCGTTTCGTTCTATTGTGGGACTCCTTAGCAGTGCCCAATGATGAACCTGCCTCGCGAGATTCGAACCCAGGACCTGCCAGTCTCGCACCAGTGCACTTAACTGATAGACAAAGGTGTTAATGTCTAACTTCAACCAATCCACGAAGTTTGAGCAACCATTCACCCATTGTCTTCAGTGAGTCGATATCTTTACAACAGATGTGATTGAACTCCACTGGTCACTGCTTTCCACTAGAACTCCAGGAAGTATCTCTTGAACTCAGTCACGAGTGAGCATATGATTATAGGTTAAAAATGGTGGATAGGCACTGCTGAGAAGTCCTATAATAAGACGAAACGGTCATCCAGTGTTTTCAGATTTTCCACGGTGGTCTAACTTCAATCGACTTATCATTTCAACTATGAATATACTGGAATCTCTACAAAACCCCTTATGATCCAATCTTGTGTGTATTGCCTCAAGTCCCAGACTGAACATCAATATACCTGAGATGCAAGTACATCCAGCTGACGAATCCCAAATAGGACGAAGTCGACACGCATCAAACCGGATTCCACTGCTAGCTACTATCCATCTTTGTTCATAAAGCAATATGACTTCAGTTAATATTGAGGCAATTTGCACAAGATACACATATGCCAATAAGAGAATGATCAATTACAGACCTAAACAACAATAGGAAGATACAAGTAAAACAACATCAAATGAAAATAATCTATATTTATTACTTACTATGTGGTGTCATTGGTATATTCATTTTATCATTTAATTTAATTATTTCCTTATCATCTTTTGAAATATGACTTGACAACTGTTTTGTATTATAATATTGATTTGATAATTTTTTCGATTCAATAATTATTGATTTTTCTTTAAATTGATTTTTGATTACATCATTAGTACTTAATTCACCATTATTATTATTATTATTATTATTACTATTATTAGTAATATTATTATTATAAGTAGTATTATTAGTAGTAGTATTATCAGTAGTATTATGATTTTTGTTTAAGTGTATAATTAATTCACAATTTGAATGATCTTTCAATGATATTCCATTATCATAATCATTAAGATGATTAAATTGTTGACTATGTTGACATCGTGTTGAGGATAACGACGGTGTATATTCATTATGATTACTGTTATTATTAATTTTTAAAGAAAGATTATCCTTTGATTGTTGATTTGAATTCGTTGAATCATTTATGGTTATTGTGGGAACTTTATCCATTTTTATTAAATGATGAACATCATTTGAATGTAGTTTAGTATCTGGGCATTTGGTTCTATTATAATTTTGTATAGATAAGGATGTTGATGATAATGATGATGTTAATAGAGTATCATTGATATCTGTCATTGGATTACGTTTAGATTTGCTTGTTTTATTGAAGTGATCAGTAAGATCAGTATTAGATTGTATGATGGATTTGGTACTTTTAACCTTATTCTGACTACTACTAGTAATAGTACTAGCAGTAGTAGTAGTAGTAGTAGTAGTAGTAGTAGCATTAATAGTAGTAGTATTGTATGTTGAAGAAATTCGATTGGAACTTGAAAGTGAATTGTCAATGGAAAATTTAGATTTCGCTTCAGGTAAACTAAAAAGTTCAGTTTGTTCCGTTGGTACCGATTCGAATTGACAGTGTAACTTGAAAAAAACCCAAAAAAAAAACAGTAACAGCAACAACACAGCTATGATTGTAAGGGGTCATGACTAAGGTTCGATTGTTATTATTAGAAATAATAGATTTGTAATAATAATGATAATAATAATGGTTATGCAAGATCATGGATCGATTGAAGTTAGATAATAACACCGTTGTAGGTTAAGAGTTCGTGTGTGAGACCAAAAGGTCCTGGGTTCGAGTCCCTTTGGTGCGAGTTTGTAGATATGCACTAATGAGGAGTCTCATAATAAGACAAATTGACCGCCGAGTGATTCCAGGTTTTAAATGGTAGTCTGATATCAATTGATTCATGATCTCAACTATCAATAATTAATTGTACAAAGATAATTTTCAAAGGTAAACTTATGTTTTTAATTATTATTTAGTTAGACAATCAGGAGAAGTTGACAAGTACATTATTACGATTCTAGATCGGTTCATCAATGTCTAAATAATACAATCAGATTGTAGCCCTGAGTCCTATATGATGTCTGGTTCTTCCGCGAGACAGGATCGAGCTATACTGCTCAGGTTAAACCAGAGGTTAGTGTATGGCTATCCTATCAACGGGATTGAGCTGTACTTTTAAGATTTTCACGTGAAAGTCTGGATGGTGTCTGGTTCTCCTGGAAAACCAATACAAAATTACCCTTGCCCATAAGGATATATTATATAACTGAACAATCTAATTGAAGTTAATCATTCAATATCATTTTTTTCCTCTTGTCAGATATCATTCCATCAAGAAGCTCATAAGTATAGTATTTGAAAAACATGAATTCAAACAAAAAGATTTGTTAAATTCACTTGATACTGTTTGTTTGAATCTTCCCATCGATTTATTAGGACTGCAACTGGTTAGTCTCTAATTGTCATATGTGCACACTGCGCGTATTGCCTCGATATAGGGTTAATTCACAAGCAATATAAGCAAACATGGATAGTGACCATCCAGGATGCGCGTCACTTCGTCCTATTTGGGACTCATCAGCTGGATCTACCTGCATCTTAGAGTTGATGTTCACTCCACAACTCGAATCCAGTACCGTTCACTTCAAACGCCATCACGTTATCCACTTGGCCACTGAGTCCTGATAGCCACTTGCTTGTGCAATGGGGGTGAAGTTTAAATTCACTTGGTATTATTTGTTTGATCACTTAATCATTGAAGTGAACTTTATTGAAGATTTTTAATTTTATGGTTCGTCCAAATTTGATTCTGACTAAAACCTTACGATATCAACTTTTATTGGCTAAACTTATTGAGACATAAATTACTTATGCTTCATTATCAGTCAAATCGAAGTACATTATTTAATAGTGTAGGGCTAGATTGGATGAAAGTTAGGATAGATGAAATCAAAACATGATTTCAGTCGTGGACTGTCTGTTTGAGTCCTAGAGGTAGGTAAAGACTGTTTAGTTAGAATTGAGTTAAATGGTTAGATGTCAGATGATATGGCTAAAAATCAGTCGAAAGGGGGTAGATGTATCCAAGTGTCATCATAATTTACATCTTGAGTTTCTCTTCCATTCTGTATGCTGCAGCTAAGTTCTTAATATTTAATCTTTCTACTTCTTGGATAATGATCCTATTGAATATTCTTTTTGAAGAAACACATTCTGACAGTGGTGTTTTATGAAGATCGACTTAATTTTTAGGTTATATTCTTTACAGACAGATCTCAGTTGAGGTACCAATAAAAAACTATGAAATACTAGATAACTACTTTGTCCTGGTTTAGCAATCTTCAATAATGAACTTTATCGAGTCCGTGTTTGATTACTTACTTACATACTTACGCCTGTTACCCCCAACCGAGAATACGCCACCGACCAGGATTCTCCGACAAACCATGTACTGGGCGTTCCTTTCCAGTTCTATCCTATTCTTCTTCATTCTTATCATTTCCATATCCATTTCTCGTCATAATGAGTTCTTTGTTCTTCCTTTTCTCTTCTGACCTTGAGAATTCCAAGGGAGCGCTTGCCTTGTGAAGCAGTTGGGTGATTTCCTCAATGTGTGCGTTATCCAATTGCAATGCTTTTTCCTGATTTCTTTGTCCCGTAGAATGTGGTTTGTTCTCTTAATATGCTTGAATGTTATTACCAGTTCACCTTACTCGGTGAACAGAACGAAGGTCAAAGACACAATGACACGATAGGCTAATTCCAATTCATTGTTCCCGACCCTGCTAACTAGATCAAGCAGTCTTGGTGAGGCGTAGAGAATGTATTCTACAAGTACTCACAAATTACGACGTCATCAAATACACTGATTCAGATTACTTATACAATGGTAGAAGCACTCATGACAGAGCCACAAAATAGCGTACTAGAAAAATCCGTCAACTAATGGTAGTCAAGAAATTCCGAGTGGGAAATGTAAGCTGTAAGTTAATTAAGAGTTTCTTGGCGCGAAAACATAAAATTCAAGTTCCAAGTGAGTTCTGGAGATCTAACGTCCTCAACATCTCTCCCACAGTAGGTTGTTGCTTATGGCGTATGGTCAACGAATCCAAAGTATTTTGAATAGACAACTGTTATTAAGCACTTATATCTTCTGGACGATGGATTCCATAGTCGTCTAAATTTCAATCCGCCTTTGATTACAAGCTAATTATAGTTGAACTTGCCACATTGGAAGATCACTTCATGTTTGTAATAGGTAATCATTCAATGAAAAACTTATAGGACCTTAGTTACAAGTATCAACTTGATTATAATTTGGTGACTAAGTCAGTTCACAAATATATATACATAAAAACATCAACTAATTCAATCATTATTTTCATAGTTGAAATCATGAGCTAGACCACCATGGAAAAACCTGGAAGCTATGAACCGCTGTTTCATCCTATTATGGAACTCCTCAGATTAGTAGGTCCTGGGTTCGAGGCGAGGTCGTAGATGCGCACTGCTGAATAGTGATTCTAGGTACTCTACAAAACCACCCTCTTCTAATAATATGAATCATTATGAACTTACCACTTTATTTGATGATAAATATTGATTAATTAATGGACAATGATTCACTATAGAACTAAATGTTATTCCTTTGGATTGTTGTAAATGACCATTTGATTGTTCTAATTTACGTCTACCAGTGATTAATGATTTTGTATGATGAATTGCTTTTTCACGAAACCAAAAACCCCCTCCAATCTTATGTGTATGGTTACTATAATTATTCATTAAACTCATTTTATGTTTTAATTCTTGATCTGATTTCCAATTTTTCATAGTTAATAAATTCCAACTGGTTGATAAAATTTCATCATATTTTGTACGATTTGAATTCATAGCAACTTTTGGTAACCAACTATTGGATTGTTGCCAACGTCTATGATTAAGATTATGATTATTATTGATTGATGATATATCATTAATTATAGATTGATCACGTTGACTATAACATGAATTACTTAAATCATCCCCATCTCTATCACCATTACCATCATCATTATCATTATCATGATTACTAATATTACTTATATAGATATCCTGTTGTATAGGTTGTGAATCATTGACATTATTATCATTAAGTCCTAATAATGGTGGAACTAATTTGGATACAGATTTTGTTGTTGATATAAAGTTATCGAATTGGTTGTCAAGTGGAGTATTTGTAAGGATAGTAGAAGTTGTAGTCGTAATAGTAGTTGTCGAAGTTGAAGTCGAAGTGCAATTTATTGTTTTTAATTTATCAATAATCAATTCATTTTGATCAATTCGATTTATGAAATGATTTTGATTGTTAACAGTAATAGTATTAGGTAATTGGGATTTCGATGTATTTAGATCAAATTTTTGAAATAATAAAAATTGTCTTTGAGTTCGTTGATCAATTGAATGACGATTTTGTTGATAAAGATTATTATTACTATTACTTGTACTATTCTCCAATGTGTTATATTTTAGAAATGTATTCTCTGGTCTATATGTTGGTATAGTATATTTATTCAATGATAAAGTATCTTGTGAATGTAATGCCTAGATTTTTTTTTTATTTTTAGAAAGAATAAAATAAATGAAAGATATGAAGGATTAAATATGTAGTAGAGATGAAGTATGAAGTATGAAAGAATACCAAAATGCTCACATGTATCTATCTAACTATCTATCTATCTCTGTATCTAACTGTGTATTCGAATAGCTATACATGCATACATACATACATACATATATACATACGTACATTCTCTCATGGGTTACAAACTCTCTCTCTCCCTTCCTCACCCTCTCTTTCTCTCTCTCTCTCTCTCTCGAGATGTAATAATCCAGGTTTTCTAAAAAAAGAAAAATCTCCATTTTTTTAAAAATTAAAATCATGTGAAACTATATATAATAGGTGTTCATTTATTCAATCATTAATCAAATAAAAAACACATATACATAGTAAATGCAAGGAGTTTTCTTTTTGCATGATCTAGCCATCTTCCACAGAAAACACTTTTGTAAAATATGCGGACGACCTCACTGTATGTATGCCAATTTCTACCTCCTTACATCCCATAGAAAGGAATGAGTTTTTATCTCGTATTGAAAGGTGGTCTGTTGGTAATGGTCTCTTACTCAATCCATCTAAATGTCAAGCTGTTAATTTTAGCTTGAGACATGGACAGAACCTATACTCTATGTTGGGATCCCATAATGCTTGTGCCATTGGAGACTCCTTAATAAACACAGTGTCGAGGGTCAAATATCTTGGTGTTACTTTTTCCTCTGATCTTTCTTGGTCTTCTCATGTTTTACTATTATCGAAAAAAGTTTACCGCTTGACATACTACATAAAGAGGCTGCATGCTTTTGGGATTACTCGCCATTTACTCTTACAATTTGTAAATTCCTGCATATTACCTATTATTTTATATTGTTCTCCATTATTCTTTCCTGGGCTTTTGAGAAAAGACTTTGCTATTTTGCGTAGAATGCTGAAGGCGGTTTGCAAGGTATGTGGTGAATCTTTTGAAGTCATTGTTAATATGCTTGTGGATAGACATCTTAAGTGTTGCAAACTCTTGGCAGGTGTTATCTTATCAGATACTAACCATCCGCTTCATTCATATCTTTCTCCTTGTATATCTTCTGGTAGAACGAGACGTAAATACATTAAAATCCATGCACGCAAGCAAATCTATAAAAGTTCTGTAATACCTTACTTAGCAAATTTACTTTGTGACGAACAGGCTGTTAGAGTTGACCTAGTAAATAACCTGTCTTCTTAAGCATGTCTCAAATTCGATAATTTGTATAAAGTCGGTTTTTCCTAGACCTTTTTTTTTTTTTTTTTTTTTTGTTTTTTTTTTGTTTTTTTTTGTTTTTTTTTGTTTTGTTTTGTTTGTTTTTTTCGGGTTTCCTTTTTTGGTAAAAAACTTGTTGAAATAACTCGTGCTGAGAATTCTATATTGTACCAGATTATAATATTGAATAAAGCCATTAATAATAATAATAATAATAATAATAATAATAATAATAATAATAAAGCAATTAGTCCCATTGATAAATTTCGACAGTGTAGCATAAGAAGACGAAGATTATCAGAACTTCATAGTTGAAATCATGAGTCAATTGAAGCTAGACCACCATAGAAAACCTGGAAGCACTGTTTGACGGCCGTTTCGTCCTATTATGGGACTCCTCAGAAGTGCGCATCCATGATTCCGCACTCGCGAGATTCGAACCCAGGACCTACCAGTTACGAGCCAGAGACCTTAACCTATAGACCAACGGTGTTAATGTCTAACTTCAACTGATGCACGAATTATGAGCGACACTTCACCAATTGCCTTCAGTGAGTGAATAACATTAGGATCACTTCAATTTTTTTTTAATAATTTTTTTTGTCCCCCTTAATCAAAAAATTTTCATCCCATTTTCCAATTTTTTTCAATCCCTTTCGTCCAATGAAATTCCTAGTTGTAAATGCGTTGTAATTGGTTATGTAATTCTTGAAATTCGTATAAAAGCTCTGTACTTATGGATATAGATAATTTTCTTCACAATATAGACGTCAGTAACTTGCAAATTAGAGGCTCTGTTGTTCCTCACGTAGTCACAGAAACGGAAAATGTATTTTTGAATACATTGTATCTGGTAGCGTTTCCATCACTGGAAGCGTTAAAGAGCGCCATTAGAACTTATGAAATAGCAACGTACTGCCATTATGCGGTGAGAGATTCTAATTTCCATGGAGATCGGAAGCCGTATATTAAATTTGTATGTTGGAGAAAGAGCTATAAAACACCAAGCGTTTCTTCGCAGCCGATTAGACGAAGGAGGTAAATTGATTAGTGTTATTATATTGTTCATTGAGGACTTCAATGGACACACAATGTCCGGCCTTCATCTTTTGTAAGTTTCTTGAAGGTTATTGGACTGTTGTTCGTGGGAATGTGCATCACAATCACGAGTGCAATTCCCTGAGGTACGACTGTAACACATGGATGCGCCGATTAACGGGAGCGGAATTTGAATCAGTGAAGCCACTGCTGATATCTGGAACATCAGCATTCAATGTGATACACTACGCTTACCAATCATATGGGAAACGTCTTACAGCTCAAGATGTTTTCAATATGCGTTACAAAGTGTTCTCACAGGCCAACCTTCCTGGTAAGCAATGTGCATATTTATACTATTAACTGTAGGTGATTACGGTAAGTTGAAAAATCACATCACGTCACTTGGTGGCCTTTGTGATTATCAATTGGATGCAGATCATAGTCTGTTGTACTTCTTCTTCGCTACAGCAGACCAGATCAATCTGTGTAACAGGTTTTTAGATGTTGTTGGTTTTGATGGGACATACAAAACCAATAATGAAAACATGTTTCTTTATCACGTGGTGGCTTTGGACATGAATTTCATGGCAATACCTGTTTGTATTGCATTTGTAAGTCGCGAAACATCGACTTTGCTGTCCAGTTTCCTCTCGTTCTTCCGCCAAATGAGTAACAATAGAGAGGTTATCGGTATTGTTACCGACGATTCACCTGCTATAGCTGCTGCCATAACGCAGGTGTATCCCAATTCACACCACCTTTTGTGCCGCGTGCACCTTCTTCGAAATGTCATCAAGAGGGTAAGCTTTCCTTTCTTTACAAATAACCCATTCATCGTATTCGTAGAGGCTACGATCTGATCTTCTTCAAATGTTCTACCGTCTTATGCTAACAAGAAATGTGGAAAGGTAAATCGAAATATGCTTTACAATGTATTGTAGCTTCCAACGGTATGTGTCATTTATCGAAACAGCAGACGGGAATTTCTACCAATATTTGAGAGATCAGTTATTGTCCAAAAAGCACAAGTGGTCGAACGCTTTTAGACCAGCTGCAATGCTTCTAGATCAAAGCAATACAAATTTCGTTGAGACGACCCATCGAATTTTGAAGTTGCATAAGCTGAACAGAAAAACACCCGTGTTCAGATCGATATTTAGTGTTCTGCTTCGCACTGGATACTGGATAGAAGCTAGAGTTCAAAAGTACTCCACTGAATGCCGTAGCAGGGCTGTGCTGGGTCGCGAGCCTCAACTACGTCGTCTTCAGGAAACACTTACACCTGCTGCATGTAAACTGCTTAAGCGGCACATGCGTGTTCCTGTTACTGACTACGTATTGTCGGGGGAGTTTTTCACGGCCGTTGATACTACAGGAACTTACACAGTCTCCAAAAATCCTATTAGTTGTTCCTGTTTCTTTTATGTAGAACACAGAGTCGTATGTCGTCACATCTTGGCATATTGTTCGCACGATAATGTCGAAGTTCACAGAGAAAGCATTGGTGACAGATGGCTGCATTCCAACAGGTCCATACTTCATTCAACAACCTGAAGACGACATAAAAACGATTGTGTCACATCTCACTGCGTTTACCAATATAAATGTGTGTGTGGTCACACATACCTAAAGAGGAGCAATCGTGATCTGAAAATTAGAGTGGGTAAACATGTACCAAAATGGTTGTAAAAACAAATACAGTCGAATGACCCAATAAGAGTAGAGGATAAACATCCATCATCCTCTATTCCTAAACATATAATCGAAACAGGTCATAAGATTGATCTAAACTCGGCTTTTGTTGTGTTGTTTAAAAGTGTAAAAGGGGGCGTATACTAAGGTTTATTGAAGCCTTAGCCATACGAAAATTCAAACCCCCTTTGTGTATTTAAAAACAGTTTGTCCTCACCTCAAATCTACCCTGGTCATATTAGTTTATTATCCAAAGTGATTAGGTGTCAAAATTGTTTTCACATTATTTTTATCATTATTATCCTTGTCTCCTGTCTACCCTCACTTCCAGTCTAGTTGACCTTTTATTTTTTATATATAATTGTTCTTAACAAGTTGACTATCTGGGATCAGATTGTTCGAAATGTATTGCACTAATATCTCATCACAGTTCTGATAATCTTCGTCTTCTCATTACATTATTGAAACATATAAATAGTTTATAGAGTTGAGATCATGAGTCAATTGAAGCTAGACCACCATGGAAAATATGGAAGCACTGGACGGCCTTTTCGTCCTATTATGGGACTCCTCAGCAGTGCGCATCCACGAACCCACTCTCGCGGGATTCGAACCCAGGACCTACCAGTTTCGAGCCGAAGCCCTTAACCGATAGATCACTGAGCTGGCATCCAACGGTGTTAATGTTTAACTTCAATTAATAGGTCCTGGGTTCGAATCCCGCGAGAGTGGGTTCGTGGATGCGCACTGCTGAGGAGTCCCATAATAGGACGAAAAGGCCATCCAGTGCTTCCAGGTTTTCCATGGTGGTCTAGCTTCAATTGACTCATGATCTCAGCTATATAAATTACTAAAATCTCCACAAAACCCCTTCTGACATATAAATAGTAACAAGTGTAGTATTGAATAGTAGTTTTATAAGTAGTATATATAAAAGTAGTATTTGTTTGTTCCAGCTGTTGTTGTTATTATTATTATTTTAATCTCATTTGATCATGTATAGTCTAATGATATATA